TATTCAGTTCAACCACGGTCACTATTTTTTAGTAACCGTGGTTCAACCCAAGCAAGGCACGTTTTTTTTTCAAATAAACATGACATACCAAATATGATGAACTTGTGTAATTCAGAAAAAAAAGGTTGTCATTTGTTCCGGCTTGGAGCCTGATGGTAAGGGAAAACATTTACATAACCAGGGCGAGTTGCGTCGAGAGACAAAGCATTTGTTGTTTCTACTTGGAGCTATAACAGGTAACAAAAGGTCTTGAATAAATTAATGGCGTGATAAACGCCACCTTGTATTTCTATTTTATGGAATCTCTTGTAGTTTGTTTGTGCTGTGTATAGTTACAGTAGATTATTTACAAGCTGATCCCAGACCAATTTGTAACGGCCGGGCTCGTAACAGGGACCACATGATCCCCGAGCAGGGTGTGAGTCCGGTATGTGAGCTACTATAAAATCGCGATGCGACGGCTATGACCTCTATTTGCACACATGCTTCCGGTGCGCTAGTGTAACCTGCCGTTAACAATGAAACTGAATGACGTTCCCACTTTTATTAAATATAGATAGTAATAAAGAGAGTATCACAACGCCTTGGAAGCGACACATCGAAAGGTCAAGTTTAGTTCATCGCCCGCTGTACGAATTCACGTTTGCGAATGAATGACCACTTGACCATGAAGGCGCGACAATGTCATATAAATCTTTATCGGATAATTATCGTCTAATAAAATCTAATGAAATTCTGGCAGAGATGTCTAACTTAGACATTTTTAGACGATATTATCGATAATATCGGAGAAAAACAAGCTGTCCCAATAGTTGCCCAGACAGACCTGTCTAACTTAGACATTTTTAGACATTGTTAGACGATATTATCGATAATATCGGAGAAAAACGAACCCTCCCGAGAGTTGCCTAGACAGACCTGTCTAACTTAGACATTTTTAGATATCGTTAGACGATATTATCGATAATATCGGAGAAAAACGAACTCTCCCAATAGTTGCCCAGACAGACCTGTCTAACTTAAACATTTTTAGACATTGTTATTGTTGTCCAGACAGACCTGTCTAACTTTTTCTCCGATATTATCGTCTAATAAAGTTAGACAACCATGTGCGGGCAACTATTGGGTAAGATAGTTTTTATCCGATATTATCCATAATATCGAAATTATCATCTAAGAATGTCTAAGTTAGACACCCATACCCACCGGGAACCTTGTCATATTACATTTTATCAGTAATGTGACATGCGAGACGTATTTGCTAACTTGTTTCCAGCGTTTCGGTGTTTTTGGTGGGAAATGCTTTAAAGCCGAAAGGAAGGAAGACAACTCTACGGCCGTTACGTAAAAACCCAACATACTCGTGTAAGAATTAACTATACTTCATTCCGCATTACGAATAAATAGCCATGGAAATATTTTCCTATGTTCATGGAGACAATAGTAGTTACAGTAACACATTTTACATTTTATCTATCTATTAAAGTACGTAAATAAACTTTTTATTTATACTCTACGCGGCAAGTCGTGAACTAAATTGCACTATTACACTTTTTTGTTATGTTTTCACTGAGACAATAGTAGCATTAACACATTTTACATTTTATCTATCTATTAAAATACGTAAATAAACATTTAGTTTATACTATACGTGACATTGTTATGTACTTCTGTTAAGTCCGCCACTAGCGCAATCCGATCGTTCTTGAGTAAATATATTTCGTTACGCTGTCAGTTGTCAAGGATTATTTGTTTATACTTAGAAAGATAAAGTATTTGTTGAGGTTTATAATTAATTAATTCTGTAATTTATATTCAAATTAACTGAACGTGGGAAAGGTAAAATTAAGTCATTCCCTTTAAATGTTTTCAACGTTCAACGTAATGCTTGGACGCATTTTTTTTTAATTATATACGGGGAATATAATTTTCAGACTAAAAAAAATCCTGGATGATTATAATAAAACATTTATTTCTCGACAAATCGCTGTCCGGGTAAATTACCTTTTTTTAGTAGTTTATGCCACTATAAACACATTTTTATACATTTTTAGACATTGTTAGACGATATTATCGATAATATCGGAGAAAAACGAACTGTCCCAATAGTTGTCCAGACAGACCTGTCTAACTTAGACATTTTTAGACATTGTTAGACGATATTATCGATAATATCGGAGAAAAACGAACTGTCGCAATAGTTGCCCAGACAGACCTGTCTAACTTAGACATTTTTAGACGATATTATCGATAATATCGGAGAAAAACGAACTGTCGCCATAGTTGACCAGACAGACCTGTCTAACTTAGACATTTTTAGACATTGTTAGACGATATTATCGATAATATCGGAGAAAAACGAACTGTCGCAATAGTTGCCCAGACAGACCTGTCTAACTTAGACATTTTTAGACGATATTATCGATAATATCGGAGAAAAACGATCTGTCGCCATAGTTGACCAGACAGACCTGTCTAACTTAGACATTTTTAGACATTTTTAGACATTGTTAGACGATATTATCAATAATATCGGAGAAAAACGAACTGTCCCAATAGTTGTCCAGACAGACCTGTCTAACTTAGACTTTTTTAGACCTGTCTAACTTAGACATTTTTAGACGATAATATCGGATAACGTTAAAAAGTGCAATGTCGCGCCTTCCTCCACTTGACGCGATGGAGAGATCCCAAGCCCAGTTGGCGAGCTACATAACAGTAGTTTTCTGTATACACGCCCTGTGATCGATCTTTTCCAAACCCATGTTCTATCGGCGGTGTTTTTTTTTAAATCAGTGTATGACGTTGCTTTTAGTTTGAACAATTTAACTTGCCGACATGATAACACCTTCTTTTCAGAACTATTACAGAGTTATGACATTGTCTTCGGTGTGAACGATTGAACTTGCCGACGTGTTAATGTATTTTTTTCAAAACTATTAGTGTTATGCCATTGTATTCAGTGTGGACCATTGAACATACCGACGTGTTAATGCCGTTCTTTGGAACTAATGGGAGGCATGCGCAATTGTACTTCCCCGTTAATATTTTAACTTGGAGTTCTGATTATAGCGACAACGAAAAACACGTTTATCATAGCATTGTCAATTTCGTTAGCCAGGATTTATTTTGTTTATAATCAAAACGCGCAAGTCACGCAGACTTTACCGTCGACGGTAGAATATAATTTTATTGCTGTCGTATCCTGTATTTGAGGTTTTGATGACAAGTTCAATAAAGTGATACTTTCTAAAAACATGTAAAAAATAACTAACAATACAGTACAGAACAATTTTCGTTTTAGTTGACTTGTACTTTGAATAATTGTGAATAAAAATATTTTCCACAAGGGCGGTTTGTTTACTATACATGTTTTACAGTGGGCGCAAACAAAGCGAGACTTTCTTAGCGGCACTGTTTTGAAAACGATTTGCTACATTTTGCGACAATCTCACTTTTCCTTGTAACACTCGATTATCGACAAATTATGTTTGGTCTCAATACGTATTATGACTGAGTGGTTGTCTGTTTTCACATTGTAACATTATAACACAACCACGAAGCTCTTGGATGCGCGCCGGATGCTAGCCCTGAATACAGTGCTGTGTGTACGGGAGCGCGTTTGGTTGATAGACGACCCCACCACAGCCCGGCGTACCTCCATAGACTGTACGCAGGACTACCTAGATCCAAGATACGATATATAGCACAACAATGAGAAACATGCTTTTTTTCACATGAGGTAAATTATTTCCGCGTAACTACGGGAGTCTCGCCACACTTGCACAAACTTTTCCTGTCCTTGTCCTTCGACAATGTCTGCACATTCGTAGGACTGTCACCCCCATGGATCGAATGGTATTGTCCTATTGTTAAACACTAACCAAAATTAGTAAACAACATGGCGGACTCGACTCGCCGGAATGCCCGGGAGGGCGTCGATCATAAAAAGTGTGGATAGCTGCTCGAATTCGCCACTCCGGTTCAAATTTTGAGCATAAACGAATATTATACAGTACAAGGATTGCTGCCGCTGCCCCGCGCGTTAGGTATTCCCCCCTGTTTGCCTCCGCGCGTGCCCGGACACTCCCTCGCGTGTCTGCGCGTTAAATAGTAGGACCCGATATCTTTAGTAAAAAGTGATATTTTCGACTTCTTGTTGAAAACCAAAGTCTGATTACTTTAATATTATACATATAGGTACCTCAGGTAGACTGATCTCAGATTTGTTCATTTCGTGATGGTATCTTTAATTCTCTAATTTAGATGAATATTTTTGTCATTGTGGTAAAAAGTTAATATATTTTTGGCTTCTTGTGGAAAAAGGTGATTGTTTTCATATTATACATATAGGCACTACAGATGGACCTCTTTCAGATTTGTAAATTTCGTGCTGATATCTTCAATTCTCTAATTTTGATGAATATTTTTGGTATAAAGTGATATTTTTGAATTCTTGTTGAAAACTGCAAGTTTGATTATACATATAGGTACATCATGTGAACCAATCTCAGATTTGTTCATTTAATGATGATATCTTCAATTCTATAATAGAAATGTGCATTACTAATTGTGAAGCTATCTCAGCCAAGAGGCTGCTTGTTCATAACGTCCTTTGTAATATTGTAGATAATATAGAACAAAAAATTATTAGTACCATACATGTATTTATTGTCTGCTTTAGACATTTTCCATGTTAAGACATGTTGAATTGCAAAATAATTAGTCTGTGTATAGTATATAAGCCAATAGCCAGCATTGCAATGCTAGGAAATAACTTATGCACAGATCTGAAATTCAGTGTTATGTTATTGTTGATCCCTTACCCTGAAACAACAGTGTATGTTGTAAATCAAATTAATTTCAGTATTAGATGGATGTACAGTGTACATACACAAAGATTGTATCCTAATACACTTATTTTGTCTTGTTTTGGCTACCTTATAATATAATAATTGCATAATAATTGCAATATTGCATTCTTAAAAATACAGTTTTTTTATCAGTTATTGGCAATATGAATATAATGCATAGAGGAGTTTATGAAAAAGAAAGTCAATACAAATCATGAGATTTAAAATGAAAACAATTTAAATAAAAGCACTCAATAACTTGTGTATATTTTTGACTCCCCTGTGCGAAGCACAAAAGGGAGTCTTTGCAATTACCCTGTCTGTATGTATGTATGTCACTTTTTTTGTTCCACCGCTATCTCAAGAACCACTAATCAAATTTTGGTGAAACTTGGTACATAGATGCTCTGGGATAATGCGCAGAGTTGATTAGGTTTTGGTAAAAATCTATGAATATTAATTACCTAATTTGCATGATAATTAGCTGATTTTTAGCTGTTCCAAGACTTTTCCACTGATATCTGAAGAACCACTCATTGGATTTTGATGAAATTTGGCACATGGACGCTCTGAA